CACGTACTCCAAAATGTGCAAGTGAGGAATGAGCATGAAAATAGACAATGGCTGGGGTATACCCCAGCGGACTGACGGGACTGGACTGGACTGGCTGGTACCGACAGAGGTACCGGCCTGGACTGGCCTACCCCGAATATAACACAGGCCTGTGAGAACAGGCCAAGGGGCTGGTCTCACAGGCCAACCCGAGGTCCGCTACAGTTTTGGACGATCCCCCCTGCTGCTTGTGGCGGGAGCTCGGGCTGTGCCTTCTTGGAATCTTCGGCGGGAGGTGACACCGAGAACCAGGAGAGAGAGAGAGAGAGAGAGAGAGAGAGAGAGAGAGGGAACCTACCTGGTCTTAATGGTCCATGAGGTGGACATCTTCGTGCACTTCGGCTGATGCCACAGATGTGAACAGGATGCATTGCCACTCTGTAGAGTGCTAGTAGCTGCGTAGGAGTAGGCCGGGCGCTGAAGCGCCAGGTAGGAGGAAGGACCCAGGGCACATACGTTGGTGGAGGCAAGAGCATGCTTTCGTTGACATTCGGATTCAGGACTCTGGTCCTCCGAAATGTGGAATGCCAGGGCATTTCTTTTCCTCCCCGAATAAGAGTTAGATTTTGCTGGTACTGGATGTGATTTAGTAGTCTGAAATTTTGTCATTCTATTACTGCCAGGGTATTGAAGTTCGCCGCTAGTAATCACCACAGTTACTCAGTAAGATTTTCTTGGAGCCTTGAGGTGATGCTACTATTACAACTGAACTTCAGTTCCTACCATGACCCGGCCGTTGTCTCAGTGAGGTGTTGCTACAGTGACCTGGTTACTGCTGATAGCCGRTTTGTCCCCCATCGAAGTTTCAACTTGCTGTTTTGTTATACTAGGGGAGTTCGGGGGTATTGCTGCTGGCGTAATAGCTGATGGCCAGACAAGTATTGCAGGGGTGTCGAGGGTCGTGCACAGACTGCRCARCAAGTTTGATGGGTGGTAGTTGTTGCGACCCGCATGCTCTTTCCCARCTCGGCCCGGGTTGAGGCTATCTAGAATTGCTGCTTGCTGTTAYGTGTTGGGTATCCTGCTYTGCAGCACCACTGTGTTGGCCGCGTGTCTTGCGTTGTCATATGGATGCTATTGTTGATTACTGTGGATCTCGGCACTATGGCCACAGCCTGTGCATTTTTGACTTGGGCAGTGCTCCTTSTTGGCATGCTGCTGATCATCRCAAACCAGATTGTTACTAATGATCGGCMGGGAGTACTACCASGGTAATATGCCTTTTACAGCCCTCAACTGATGTGGTGCCCCTTTTCTCTCATAGTTGTGGCTGACTTGTTGAACACATYGTTCTGTGGCAAGTGACTATATCTTACCTACATCAGATAGAGCACAAGGTGCATGTGCCCTACGTGAGCTGAGCCTATCTGGGCTGCACAACGATAGATTGGACTGAGGTAGTGAAATGGCGGTCTGAGGAAATGATTAGCTTCTGTAAAGAGGTGTTGCCTTGTGTCCTGATCATATTTTAGTCGCATACGTTGCGCATTGGCTGCATCATGTTGGGCTGTTGAGCAGACACCATTGATGCCCTGCTGCACGGTACGCTGACCTACGGGGTGTTATGACTTTGTGCATTAGTACAATATCCAACCGTTGCACGCTACTGTTGGGGGTGCGGTGAACTTGCTGAACACCCAGGTTAGACCCTGCTGGTTGAGCTTGTATTAGGCGGATCGCTACGTTGACCGCGCCTTGTCATACGGGTGTGTTCCCAATCGCTGCAAGCAGCATCTAGTTGAGCTCAACCGCAATTACTGTATCTTCGAATAGAGCACGGGGGTGTTAGCGGTAGCCTGTAGGTTCCTAGACTGCGCATGGCGTTTTAGTCAGGGGTTGAAGTATGGTGGTTTTGAGAAGGTGATCAGGCTTTGTGGAGGGACTACTGATGCAACTCGGAGGTCTGTCAGGGTGCTGTTTTCTACGTCTTGGCCGTTGTATGACCACTCTTGCTGCGTGTTCTTGGCCATCATTGCGGGGCCCTCAGGCGAATTAAGACTACAAGGCCCTCTCCCGCGAGTTTGAGAGCACCTCCCTTGTATCTGAGAGCCTGAACTTTCTCCTTCTGCCCTCCTTATTCTAAGTCTAGTCTAAGGTTACGAGAGGAAGGCGGCAGGCGGGATTGCAACCCGTAGGTTCGCATCAAGGCCTCTGTGGGAGGTCCACCCACCGATTGCGGGAGCTGTGCCGGATCCCAGGCCGGGTTCTGGAGGCAGGGAAATTCAGGTATATTCTTGTTAACCTGTGTGATCCCTTCCCCTAAACTTTTATCCTTGGGCTATCTGAATAGGATTATGTGAGGATATTACTTTTCTATTTTGTTATGTACGTCAGGACATGCGTTTTGAAAAGTAAATCAACAAGTATATGTGAGAGGGCAGATCTTCTGAGTGAATTCAGATAAAATTAAACTGGGGGAAGGCGGGAGGAAGGTGTTATGCATGCGTTTGACCAGGTCAACCCAAAGCTGAGCCCCTCCGGGTGGATGTGGGCTCAGTGCTGTGTTTTATTGAGGTTTGCTGATCTGAATGAGTGACTCTTATGGCTGGTCTACCTGGGTGGGATAGGATCAGTCGCTGTTTTATTTGAGGGTTTCTGAACAGGAGGATGGGCACCCCGGGTGGGGAAGGCTCAGAGTCTTGATGTTTCTTTTAATGAGTTATGGTGCATGTTTTTTCTGAGGGAATAACGGCACAAGACTAAGCGTACCCGTACCCTAGGGTTAGGGCGGCTTAGTCATGAGCCACGAATTAACTGGCCAACCAAAAGTATAAATTTTGATATATATATTTTATTGAACTTATACTTCTGACAGACGGGCACCCCGGGTGGGGAAAGCAAGTCAGTAAGTCAGGTAGAACTAAGGAAGAGGGAAAAAGATAAAGAGTAAAACAAAGGTAACTGGGCAGACTGAACGTACCCTAGGGTTAGGGCGGTTCAGTTATATGCTCATGATAACACTAAGGAGCAGAGAGTTAGTATAAATCTGTCTTATTTTCCCTTCTAGACATGAGGCAGGATCGGAAGTTTCATTTATTGGAAAGGTCCGATCGACTGCTTAATAAGAGAAGGAAAAACATAAAGTCTGTGAAAGTATTTGTACCCTATTTTATGTTGTATGGCTAACTAGGCCTAACCCTAGGGTTAGGGCGGCCTAGCGATAAACTTTTGTCGTTTAAAGTAAGTTGGACGTACCCTAGGGTTAGCGCGGTCCAGCATTTCGGTGTTTATAACTGTTCAGGCAGATCAGGCATACCCTAGGGTTAGGGCAGCCTGATCACATTGCCTTATGTAACTTAAACTGTATGGCTAACTAGGCGTACCCTAGGGTTAGGGCGACCTAGTGATATGCTTTTGTCGTAGATGTGCTGTGGGTTGGACGTACCCTAGGGTTAGGGCGGTCCAACTTTTTGTCGTTTGTACTTATATTCAGGCAAGCTAAACCTACCCCTGGGTAGGGATGGTCTAGAATGATGCCGTATGTAACTTTGTTCAAAGCAGATTGGGCATACCCTAGGGTTAGGGCAGCCCAGTTCTATGCTCTTTGTCGTCAGTTAGGCAGAAGCCAGACGTACCCTAGGGTTAGGGCGGTCTGGTCATATGCCTTATGTGTACAGTTCATGTTATGTTGGGCATACCCTAGGGTTAGGGCAGTCCAAATGTGCGTACTTTACTTGTGTACCTAAGCAGGTCAGGCATACCCTAGGGTTAGGGCCTTGTCTGACCGTATGCCATAGAAAAGGGGGATGTAAAAGGGAAGGAACTGAGCGACTCAACGAACTACTTGGACTAAATTAATGTGGGATTGTGAGATATGTTTGGTTATGCATGCTTATGGGCTCCCACTCTGGCGCATCTCTTTGATAGTTTAGTTGCTTTAGGTGCTCGCCGAGTGCTAGAGCTATAGGCAAGTAGGATGGATGATGGGAGGGAAAACTTGGGATAAGATAGGACTGACTCTACTAGGAGTTAGGATTAGTGTTATCGCACAGCCTCATCAAGAGGTCGTACAGATTGTCGCTGATTCTACCTTCCAAGTAAGTGTCAGGAGTTAGTCCCAAGTATAGCTTGCTTTGTCTTTCTGTTTTCAGCTTTGTATAAATCTTTGCAGCCTCCTTTTCCTACGGGAAGCGCTGCCGAAATTTCTACAAATTTGAAAGAGTTAGTCATTTTTAGATTCGTAGAAATTCTGGGAAGGCACTTTTCCTACGGGAAGCGCTGCTGAAATTTTGCAGAAATTAAGGAGTTGGAATATTCTCAGTTAGGAGAAATCTGGCAATCCATCCTGTTTAGGGGGTATACTGCCGAAATTTCTTACATTTTTAGATAAACATCAGAGGTTAGTTAGGAAGGTAGGATTATAACTTGATCACTCAAGCATGGCTTGGGTATTGGCCTGTGCTGCATTGCAGGTCACCTTTATTCATATTGATTCAAGGATTGACTATCTTCAAATTGATCCTACAGGGATCACCTTCTGTTATCCTTTGATAACAGGTCGGTTTCCGGCTCAACTCTAATCCACTCTTGCTACTCAACCTAAAGGCTTTAGCCGTGTGGTTTGGTTTGTTTTATTGTGTTTTTACCCAGACTTTAATTGAATGGTCATTTAATAAAGATGTTGAGTATTTATTTTGAGAGTTGCGCAAAGAGTGAGGTTTGTATGGATAAAGCAAGCGGTGTGAGCGCAGAGAATGGTTGAAGTTGACCCCGTGTAGAGTGTCTTTGTTGATGTGGATCTTTGATGTGATTGCAGGTATGTTTTGTGAGTTGAATCCAGACTTGATTTTGTCAATGATTATATATATACTTTTGAAGGAAGCCGCACTGTGATTTTGAGAGTGATCGTCTCCTATCTCATAACTTTTATATCATATTTTCTTGTGTCCGCACGACCCATTGAGGTCGCGCATAGTGATTAAGTAGGTGTTGCACTGAGAGAAAAAAGGTCCCCTTTGACCTTTTGCTTCTTAGAGTTATTATGGTTGGACGTTGTGGTCCGTGGCAACCGTCAAAATCAAACCCCTTGATATTTGACTGCCACGACAGCTTGGAGCTGTCTACTCAACCCCTCTGCACAGGGTGCAGAAGAGGGTGTGGTCTTCAACCGCACATGGCGGTTGTCTGGCGTCGAGAGATTACCCCTCAAAGCGCCTGTCAGCCGACACGTGAGCGTCGAACGCGACCCTCGAGATTATCAAGGGTCGCGAGGCTACGAGTACTACATAGTACCCCATCAGCGCGAGTGCTTGCGTATGCCCGCATGGCTGGTTGATATGAGGAGGCCATGCGCTCGCTCGGTATTTATAAGGAAATCCAGCGCGCGATACCTATCTGATTCTTGCTGCATAGAGTTATGGGTCGGATATTGAAGGGACTAGGAGTATTGTTGTGTCATGGTGTTGTTTGTAGTGGTTGTTTTGTGTGTGTCCATGTGTTATGCGTGGTAAGTGTGAGTGTTGTGGCGTAACGCGTGGTGTGTAGGGTGCGTCCTAGTCGACCGACGCCGGGTCGCGCTTGGGACTTCAGCCCCCCAGTGCGTCGATTCGCGTGCGGGTTCGATTTTGGGCGCTCGACCGCGCGTACCCCCTATGCTACAGCGAGCGAGAAAACGCCCTCGGCTGGGCCACCTCTGCAATTGCATACGAAAAGCTTTCGCATGTGGTTCAATAGCTCGGCGGGGATACATCCACCTAAAGGATGGTGACAGCTCCCGCAGGTGGAGGTAAGTGGTGCCTCGCGTGACCCTGTCCTGTCGTACCAGCTCGCGAGAGGTACGGCTGGCGCACTCGGCCGGAGCGGCAAACGCTCTCCGCGACAAGTCCTGCCAAATCCTGCGTGACGCGGCCGGGAGGGTCCCCGTGCGGGACCGATGCGCTCGACAGCGTGCGCGGGTTGGAGACTTAGCTGTTGGCCAAGGTTGGAGACTTATCGTCTCTCTCTCTCTCTCTCTCTCTCTCTCTCACACACACACACACACACACACACACACACACACACACACACACACACACACATTCCACCGATGGGATGAGCAAAAACGAAATGAATCCTCCGCTCAAACGTGGAAATATACACTGCCACTTTTTTATTTGCTCATTCTATCGATCCAAGTAGCGTGCGGCGAGGGGCGAGGTTGGAGACTTAGCTGTTGGCCGAGGTTGGAGACTTATCGCCTCTCTCTCTCTCTCTCTCACATACACACACACACACACACACACACACACACACACACACATTCCATCGATAGGATGAGCAAAAACGGAATGAATCGTTCGTGTGTGTGTGTGTGTGTGTGTGTGTGT